CTGAACGCATTCCAAAAGTCTCTGCGGGTAGGAGTTGTGAGCTCCCGCACAGGGCAGAGAAGTACTTGGTAAAGAGACTTGGCGGCATTTCCCCTTTTCCTGCGCCACAGGCAGAGCTCAGAACTTGGGAGGGGGTCTTTCTGCGGGAGACTGCTTCTGCCCGCCCTCCGCTCCCGCCTTTCCAGCCCCCTCCTTCCCTCTCCCCTTCCTTCCTCTTCCTCTCCCGCTCTCTCCCCTCCCCCACACTCGCTCCAGTTCAGCCCTTCCTCCACCACCCCCCCACCCCGCCCCTTCTTACCTAGCAGAGCTGACCCTGGCCTCCAGGACTGCGAGGGGTACCCCAAGGCCCGGGCGCTCCTGTGACTGGTAGCTTGAAAGAGAAACAAAACTGAAACTAAGTGTACTTGTGTAACTTCCGTCCGGGACTGCAACGGACTTGCACGGGCTCAGGCCCCGCCCACTTCCCCACCCGAGCGGGGACCTCTCCCTCCGAGGCCCCCACCCCTGCAGGACACGGCCCCCTCCCGCAGGCTCAGGGCTGAAGTCCGCGGGGCCAGGTCTCGCTGCCAGTTCGCTACGGCCCCTGGGCTGGCTCTCGCTGCCAGTTAAGTGCGTGTGTCACAAACAGGGAACGCCCGAGTGTCTGTGTGTAGGCTCAGAGGGTTCAATTGCAGGAAGAGATTAGAGAACGGCCGTGATTGAGAGACAAGATAACTAGAACCGAGTCCTGAGGCCAGGGCTGCCGTGTGAGAAAGACCAGCCCTCTGGGAGGCCTTCCATTCATTTCACAAACCTTTGCTGGGCTACAGGAGAGGCCTTGGGGGCCGATAAGGGTCCTCTGAGAGATAAGCAAAGGCTTCCTGGAAGAGGCATCAGTTGAGATAAGTTTGAAGAGGCCGCTAAAGTCAGGGGTTCGCTGGGGAGAAGGTGGGTGTGTTCTGGGAACAAACGATGTGTGGGTGCAGAGGAATGAAATGCCATGACTCTTCTGGAGACTTTAGGCAGTTTAGGATGATCTGTGTGAAGGGGACATGTGAGGGATAGCAGGTAAGGCGACAGAAGGAGGTGGCAGCCAGATCGTTTAGGGCCTTATGTTCTACATGGAGTCTGCGTTTTATCGAAAACATACAAGAGCTATTGAAAGCTATTTCAATATTCTAACATTTTATGAAAATCTGAAGCACACACAAAAAAGGAAAAAAGTCAATGAACTCTCATATATCTCTCACTGAAATTCTACAATTTTCATTTTACCATAGCTCATTCATCAGGTTTTGACCCAGGCATGCATCGGCTTATCCACATTGTGGGATTTGAGTAGGAAACCAGTGAGCTCACTCTGGCAGCAGCTGAGAAAGCGGAGGTGAGCCTGATGCCAAAGCCCAGGTGGAAAGTGAGGGGCTGCCTCGTTGGCAGAGAGGTAGCTGGAAACCCCTAGAGTGGGTCACAGAAGCCGTGGTCCAAGAATGCTGCAGGTGCTGAGGGAGGAGGCAGTCAGCCCTGCAGGATGCTACAGACCAGATGGCCAACCAGGTGGGACAGAAAAGCGCACAGGTGCAGGTGTGTCCAGGAGTCTGTGCAAACACCCACCTGCACGGCCTCAGGCTTCTCTGCGCTCCTTTGGGCCCATTCAAGAAAGGTTTTTTGGGCTGGCTCCCTGGCGCAGCAGAAATGCCCAGCTCAAGAGAAGCTGGATCCCACGTGGCAACCACAGTTCAGATCCCCAGCCTGGTCAGCCTGAAACACTCCAGGCACAAGCCTGGGTGTCCAAGGTCCAGCAGGCTGGAGGACTGAGGAAGCTGACTGAGGCGTGACCAATCTCGATGGAGGGTGTGTCTCTCTCTCGCTCTGTCTCACACGCACGTGCACATGCCCATGCTCCTATCATGAATTTGAGAGGGGGGGGTAGATGAAAGTGGGATGGAGAATGTACAAGGAGCCTTCAAAAAGTCTGTGGAAATGCTCATTAAAGTATTTTTTTTTTTTTTTGGAGAGATTATCGCTATAGGGTGCATGTGCTCACCAGACAGACAGAGAGAGACATAGAGACAGAAAGCGAGAAATCACCCCCCAGGAGAGATGGTCACGCCGCAATCCTTTCTCCTCCATTCTCCTCTCGGGATCTTGGGCATGTACACACACATGCCCAGCATGAGTTTTAAGCCACCGGGTCCAGGACGCGAACCACAGTCGACTACATGGGAGTTCAGTGACATAGCCATTACGCCAACTGCTGGTTCCCTGTTTTTATTTTTTAGAGATAGAAAAAGATTTGTTGAATAGCTATTGTGGCCAGAGAGTATGCTATGCACTATAAGAAACCCAAAAAGATAAGCAAGATAGGTTACCTGCCCACAGGGAGTGGATAAGCAAATAGGGAGAAAAACGTGGGCATGCTGCAATGTGAGACAGTAAGACCGATGCCATGTTACTTTTTTTTTTTTTTTTTTTGAGAGAGAGAGAGTTTTGCTATAGGGCATGTGTGCCCGCCAGAAAGACAGAGAGCGAGAAATCACCCCTTGGGGGGGAATGGTCGTGCCACAATCTCTCCTCCATTCTCCTCTCAGGATTTTGGACACACATACATGTGCCTGGTGTGTTTTAAGCTGCTGGGTCTGGGACTTGAACCATCATCGACTATGAGGGATTCCAACAACGTAACCATTACGCTATCTACTGGTCCCTGTCTTGTTTCTTTTATTGGATATTTATTATGTGCTTGGATAGGCTGTTGGAAACTTGATTTAATATTCACAATAACCCAGTGAGATAGATATATTGTTACCTCCATTGTACAGATGGGGAAACTGCATTATGAAGAAATACGGAAGTTACCCAAAGTCACATACAGTGCTATTGGAACATAAAAGAGAGTTCAATTTCTCCTACCAATGGTGGTGGAAATCAGGAAGGCTTCAAGGAAGAGATGACATTACAATAGTTGTCCCTCCCTACCAACACTGAACAATTGCTTAAAGTGCCTGCAGTGTGCCAGGCCCCAGGGAGATAGCTCTCCCACCTTCAAGAAAATAGATTTCTAAGTCTTCAACTATAGCCCAGTGATGATGGAATGCACTAGAAGGGGAGGGTATCTTGGTGCTGCTGGGAGATGGGACCGGAAAGACTCCCAGGATGACTCAGGGAAGACTTCCCAGCAGAGGTACCAAAGGTGGTTGGTCTGATAGGACCAGAATGCCACGGGGTAAAGTGAAGTGGCTGGAGATGGGTGTGAACAGACAGTAAACGTTAAAAGGACCTCAGGAGAGGGTCTAAGGGCTGACAGGTGGTGTGGTGGTTAAGGTGTTGGACTCCCATATGGCCAACCATAGATCAAGTCTTGAACCTGGAGGCTTGCCTTCTCACTTTCTCTCTCTCTGCTTCTCTCTGGTCGAATTGAAAAAATAATATATAAAATTAAAGTCTTAGAAAAAAAAATCCTCTGAGAATCTTCGAAGGCCTTATGGTAAAGGGAGAACCATTGCAAGATTTTTATCAGGTAAGTGTGGGCTTTGTTCTGGAGGTATTAGAAGGAATGGTTTTTAATCTTAAATTATAAAAACAATGAGGATAACTTAAAATTTAGAACCAACAGGTAGCATAGAGGTTAAGGTGGCTGGATCCCACATGGCCATCTCCACGGTTTGAATCCAGGACCCGGTGACTTGAAACTCTGGGCACATGTGTGTGCATGCCCAAAATTCCCAGAAGAGACTCGAGGAGAAGGTATTGCAGTATGACCGTAGCCACCCCGGGGAGGGGGGGGGGTTTGATGTCTCACTTTCTTGCTCTCTCTCTTTCACTCTGGCCTTATAGCAAAAAAATAAAAACAAACAAGCCAAATTAAACAACATTTAAAACATTCATATCATTGTAACAAAAAATTCTTTTTTTGTTTCATTTTTGTCTTTGTTTATTATTTTTGTTACTATTTTCTTTTTCTTTTGCTCTCTGTCCATATGAATGTATGTTACGTTATTATAGTGTACGTATATTTGTTTTCTGGATAACCTAATGTTACATCAACTGTTAAAACTATCAGAGGCCATTGTCTTGGCTTAAACTCCTGTATAAGCCCCAACAGACCAGACCAAACCAATGGGCATGGTCACACTCTAATCCTTTTTCCTCCGTTTCTCCATTCTGCACTTAAATGTTGTGCTATGGGGCCAGCTCCATGGTTACGTACAGTAATTGTTTTTAAAGAGAGGTTTTTTTGCTATAGGGTGTGTGCGCTCTCCAGAGAAACAGAGAGAGACAGAGAGACAGAAAGTGAGAAATCACTCCCCAGGGGGGATGGCCACACCGCACCCCCTTCTCCTCCAGTCTTCTCTTGGGATCTTGGGCACGCACGCACACACACCCAGCGTGAGTTTTAAGCTGTGAGTTTCAAACCGCAAGTCGACTATGTGGCCGTCCAGTGACGTAATCATTATGCCATCTGCTTGTCCTGACATATTGCAATTTACTTAACTACTTAATAATGTGCTGATAAATCTCTCCCCCCATTTGCAATGTCCACCAATTTTGCTAATATGTATATGGTGTAAATACTCCCACTGTAACTGATTTTATCTACCAACGATTTAACAACCAGCCTACAAAATTCTCAGAATTCAGCAATGAGCCCTCAGGAGCCAGTGCTCTTTATTATTTTTAAATATGTGATAGGGCATGTGCACCAGTGGGAGAGAGACAGGAAAAGGGAGAGGGAAAGTGAAAAAGCAACACCTGGGGGACGGCCATGCCTCAATCCGTTCTCCTCCAGTCGCTGCTTAGAATTTTGGGCACACAAGCATACGTACCTGGCATATTTTTCAAACCACCAGATCCAGGACTCAAACTGCACTGTTGGCCATGTGGGATCCAGTTGCCTTAACCAACATCCCAATGCTTACCCAGCACTGGCCCAGGAGCCAGTACTCTTTAGAAGTTTTTACGATGTTCTTTTTGTCCCCAGTGAATAAATACCTCCTTAGCAGCTCTTCCCCTCTCCCAAAGTCTTCCTTGCGGGGGAGAAATTGCCAGGTATTTTGCTCATCTTCTCTCCTTTCCATTTTCTCCCCGGGAATTACCGTCATCAGATGTTGTTTCTCTCGGGAAGGGACTCTAATTGTACCTTTTCTCCTAGTCTCCTTTTCTTTTTCTTTTTGTGCTACTTTCTGGGAGATTTTCTCAACACGAATATTTCAGCTGTTCTACTGTGGTTTTCACATCTTCTGTCATGGCTTAAATGAATAAATTTCTCTCTTTTTTTTGTGGCACATGCACTCACTGGAGGGAGAGAGAGGAGAGAGAGAGAGAAAGAGGAATAGAGAAAAGTGAGGAAGCCGGGAGGAATGGCCATGCTGCAATCCCTTTGCATCTTGGGATTTTGAGGCACACATGCACATACACCTGGCGTGTTTTTAAGTCACAGAGTCCAGGACTC